ATCTTGTTCTTTCCATACTACCTTTCGGTTTTGTCACGTAAGCTTGAAGCTTTGATGTTTACAACATTTATTTTAACCACCGTATAAAGGTCAGAAAGGTTACTCACAACTACTTGCAACATGGAACAGAGCAAGGCAAGTACATTCGTTAATTTAAGCATTGCACTGTTACGGGCCCGCAGTGATTGGTGTCATGCTGTTGCGGTGACCCTGCCAATAATTGGCGAATCTAATAAAATAACATAAAATAGTTGATATGCCTTTGTGAGGCTTACGAGGTGTCCTTCAGACGTAGTGAAACCAAAGTGGCACTGGCCTTAAAGCTTATTGGATTCATCCAAAAAAAGAGATCGATGCCATTTACTGCATCAGTGGATAATTCACAGTACCAGGTCATTGCATCACATGCTGATGACTCAGCTGGAAGTGTAAGGATTAGGATCAGATTATCAGGTTAAAAAAAGTAATATATTGTACCTGGCACAATGGCTCTATATTTTTCTAGAATAACAAATCTTCTACATGTATATGGTTACCACTTATACAAGACACCTCAGCTGAGGGTTTATTCCCGAAGTTTTTTGCAGTTGTTTAGGATACTGTCCAAAGTGTAAAAATAGATTACGCACAAACCTAAGAGTAATAAAGAATAGGCCTTTTCTGAGTTAAAACCTTCTTCCTTTTCGAAATTGTGTGGCTAAGTTATGAAAATGGCAATGATATTTATTTAAAGAAATATTTTCATAACTCAGACACAAACTGGGGAGGGGGCTCAAAGTGACCCAGACATGGACTGCTTTAACAATAAATTTAATTTGATTCCTTTGTTCCTTCTAACAGGTATTTAGAAATTAGCTGGATGTATTAATTTTTCCACTTGGCAAGGAGCAAGGAACCAGTGAGTTGTCACTTGCTTTGCCAACGTTACTCTTACGGCTAATAGTTGTTTGCCCAAAGCGTATTGAATTTTGTGCTGACTCCTGCTGTAGATATGTTGGGTTGTTGTTTTGCCTGTTGCATGAACGTACTTGGCAGAAATGGCTTTCCACACCATCTTGGTTAACCAGGGCTGGTTTGATACTGATGTTGGGAATTGGGCAGTTTTATGACCACCATGGATCTAAATCCCAGTCACATGGACTGCACATCAAACCAGAGCTTGGTTGAGACAAAGCTATATTTATTGTCAACATTTTTTCTCCTCCATTCGCTCATAAAACCGTAGAAACAGTCCAGATCTTTTAGGCTGCGATCAGATGTGGAAGTGATATTTTCTTTGCTGTTGAATAGTTCAATAACTTTGGACGTGTGCGTGAGCAAGGAGATAGGTCCATCAAGATGGGAACTGTCATTGTCTTGACTTGTCAGATCCTCTTTATATTTCTGTGATGAAGACAAATAAAACAAATTTATTACTATAGGGCCATGATTAATAGGTGTCAAAAACTTAAGTAAAAAGGTTATGTCATCTGTGGATGATTACCCTTTAAGAAAAAAATAAAACATTGCCAATTGTTGGTAGTTTGTTGACAGTGCAGATGATTCAAGCTTGCATTTTATCAGGGATCATCTTAGTCCAAAAGTGGAGTTAATTAGTTGAGAAAAACCAGAAGAAGACCTTTGTTCCATCATGAATGTTTGCCATTATACTGTTTAAATGAACCAGGAAATTTTTGGTTCAGGTAAGATTACCAAGCTAGAACTCCTATCTATTAATGAAGTCACATTTCACCTGCATTAGAAACGGCATTTTTCATCCAGTACATCCTCAGCAAGGCAGTTCCTCATTTTGGATGCTGGGTCCAGTTCGAAATGCTGAGGGCTTAATTTTTCGTGCAGTGATATACTAAATGATTTTTGGTCCCATTCAAATGCATCTTNACTTAAGTAAAAAGGTTATGTCATCTGTGGATGATTACCCTTTAAGAAAAAAATAAAACATTGCCAATTGTTGGTAGTTTGTTGACAGTGCAGATGATTCAAGCTTGCATTTTATCAGGGATCATCTTAGTCCAAAAGTGGAGTTAATTAGTTGAGAAAAACCAGAAGAAGACCTTTGTTCCATCATGAATGTTTGCCATTATACTGTTTAAATGAACCAGGAAATTTTTGGTTCAGGTAAGATTACCAAGCTAGAACTCCTATCTATTAATGAAGTCACATTTCACCTGCATTAGAAACGGCATTTTTCATCCAGTACATCCTCAGCAAGGCAGTTCCTCATTTTGGATGCTGGGTCCAGTTCGAAATGCTGAGGGCTTAATTTTTCGTGCAGTGATATACTAAATGATTTTTGGTCCCATTCAAATGCATCTTGGAATTGCTGCCAAACCAGGTTTTTGCCACTGATATTTAGGCACCGCGGCTTTCCATTTTCATTACTCTTCTCGATATTGTTTCTGTTTTTGTTTATGTGAGGCTGAATGAAGATGAAATAATTAAAACTACCTGTCAGTTTTTTTAAATTTGCTGAATAAACAAGGTAAAAGTAGCATTAATGCTAACTTTCAAAGTAGAGAGTACATTATCCTTGTGTATGCTTGTATGTAATGTTTTTAGTGAGTTTATACCAGGAAATTGGGTAAGGGATACGGCTATGATTGAATTCTTTGTGTCAGTATTTTTGAGATGTTGGCATCATTTAAGAACCTTATTGTTTATAAAGATATATTCATGCATGTTAAGGGTACTAAGTAAAAAAAAATGTATATTTACCTTTGGGTCCATGATGAAGACCATTGGTGTTCCGGTGTGTATGTTACTTGTTATGAAGTTTATCAGCTACAGGATCTGTTTGCGTCAGCTCCGTCCATAATGCACCAGTATATTCTTTGTATAACACAAGAGAGAGAAAGAAAAACAAGAAGAAAAGAAAGGATGAATGTTTAATGCCCGTGAGACTGATTGAGTAGGTCAATAAATGAACATATTTTTTTCATGGCTTCATGTTTTGTTTTATTTTTAGAAACAAGAGAATTTGCCCAGTACTTTCATCACATCAGTCTTGCGCCAAAAATTTGGTATATTCAGTCAAGTCACCTACAACACACAATTTAGTGAATATTTGTGATAATAAAATTGTTATTTCTTGCTTTGTTCTTACATTTAGAGATACTTATGTAATATACACAGAAGTATATATTTCTTAATATTTAGTATTTGGTGTTGTAGCAGCCCTTGCAAAGAATTTGAACCAGGCTACAAGGAGTTGTAAGTATTAACTCCTCTTTGCTGTTTTTTTGGTAATCTCACCTCATTAATTTTGAACAATCCACCGTCTACTCTTTTTTGCCTCACAATAGAGACCTGCTATTATGATATCAACTTGATAAATATATTTTTTTAGTTT